CCCCCCCCCCCCCCCCCTGCATTTTCCGCCAATTATGAGGTCCACCTAGCCGAGAACTTCATCTTCCCAAGTCGTTGCAGAGTGGCGGATGACACTGTTCGTTTTCTATGTTTTTGCTGATTTTGTTACATATAACTTTGTACTATCTGATGGCGTGTGCTTGCACATTGCAAAAAACTCTGTTTTCATGGATCATTTTTACAACTGAATGTGTTTTCAGCGTGTACATTTTATTTGTTCTTTAATAAAGAATTTGTGGAAAAAAAAGAAAAAAGTAGTTATCTCATTTTGGCTGCAAAGGTGGAAATACTTTCAAATAAGTTTTTTTGGTTTGAGGATATTTCTGTGTTTATTTGTTCATCTCTTCAGAGGTTAGAATCCGACAGAAAGTAAACTAAAAATCCAGCATAAATGGCAGACCGAGCCCGCGCTTTAGTTGCCTTCGTTTGTAGTCCTCCTTTATTCCTGATCAGTGTGTATGTCATCTAGTGATAAGAAATATGTGGAATGTGCAAACCTTTTCAAGGCCTTGTCTTACTGTATGTTTGACCTTGTGTGTCTTGCCAATTTCTTTTCTTATTGATATTGGTTTTATCAAGACTGCTGATTGTCAACATTGTTGTGACGGCAGTAACAGGGCTATACGTGTGTTTGACTTTGTCCCTTTTGCTTTGTAACAGGTATATCCGAGTATAGCTACCAAGTATAAAGAGGAGGTAAGTCACACAGGACTGCATACCAATTCCTGCCTTCTGCTGGGTTATAGCAACGTGAAGCTGACCTCCAGGCAGATATAAAAAAAAAAAACCTGCTCATCTGCCAGAAATCCATTGGGCTCTTATCTTACTGTGCACCGTGCCTCTGCTTTCCTGAGATCCTAAAATGTGTTATCAGCTATTGCCAGTTCACCTATATGGACTTTAGGTCATGAAGTGTGTTACTAGTGGGGAAAATGAGGGGGAAAAAAAAACCTAATGCAGCCATCACATCCGTGGATTGGTAAACTGCATTATATTACATTTTAGTTCTTGGGCTTAGATATGCTTTCATGGCATGTTCATGTAAGAAAAAAATGTCATGCATATGATTTGTATGGTGTATTTCTACTTCTGTACTTCTGTGGATAGGTCAAATGTATTTCTGTTAAATGTTCATAGACATATCTGCTGTCTTACAGGAAACGTATCATGCCTGCATGGATGTGCTGATTAGTCACACAGCACCTATACCAAATAGGTAACTCAATTGCTGCTTATTTCCTAAGGCCTAATTCTCATGTGCGTCACCAGCATTTACAAAACATTTATGAAGCTTGCAACACGCCCTGAAGCCTTTTAAAGCAATGGTCAGGTTTTTATACAATTGATGGAGGTGCCCTCCGCACACCTTTCAGCAGTCCCGGCCAACAATCAAATAAATGGTGCTCGAAGTAACTTCACGGATGGCACCGTGCAAAACACAAGATTGAAGAAAATAGGTCACCAGCACTCCATAAGTTAAAATGAATGAGTCCTTTTAATGGACAATGATGTCACAGAAATCCAACATGAGCCGACGTTTCGGGGCCACACAGGGTCCCTTCTTCAAGGCAAGAGATGTGACCAAATACACACACACCATAATATTTACACACACCAAACTATACTGAATAGTAGTAAAAGCCCTTCTCAGAAAAAAATTAAGATGGGAAGGAAACTGGGGTGGGCTGCTTAGGGTTACAGGTAAATTGCTTTAAACAAGTTGTTAGCGGATTATAGCAAGCTGAGGGGATGCCTGCCAATTACTTTTTAAAAGTAGATGTGGTCCCAGTCACTAGAATTTCACATGAGCTTTGGAGTTGAACTCCATGGGGCAAAAAAATCTTCCGCTGGTTCTGGTTCACTGCTTGTTCACATTCCAGTGGTTAAGTTCTTCCGATCTTCTGATCTTTGCTGTGTCCTTCAATGAACTGAAGAGAAAATTGGATTTCTTGTACTCGCTGTAGAATCCTTTTCTCTGTGCCTTTTGGTATTGGCTGTTGCCAATTGTTGGGCTTTTCACTGCCTGCTACTAACAGGCTGTGCGAGCACATGGGGGATTGACCACGAGCAAGGGACGCCCCTAGGCTGTCTTTAGCGTTTTGTGCCCAACATTCTCATCCTGCAGGTGACTGTATAACTCAGTGGCTTTGAATCTTCCCTGTGTCCTTCAATGAATACAGAGAAAATATTTGACATTGAGTACACTAATTCTATGGTCAAAAAATAATTAAATGTTGTCTAGTAAGGGTTTAGATCTACTTAAATGCAAATTACAATCCTGTGTTGGACATTCCAAGGCTGGATTTGCTTTACTGTCATTTTAATTCCTAACCCTCAGTACAATCTGAGTCAATGATTGTTTACCTGAGTTACTGGGGCTACTACACTTGGCAGTTCCCTAATGAATATACATGTTTGTTTCTTCACTCTTTTAGTTCCCATTGTTAGTCTTTCCCATGTTCTTTGTCCCTTTGCCCTGATTTTAATGCTAGTCTTTATCATGTTCCTTATTTTATTATGAAATGGTGATTGATAAGTAACTCTGTTTATCTGTAGTGGAGCACATCGACCAATAGGGGCAAAGTATGGCGAATACATCTACTGCCCGCCTCATCGATGGGTACACAACCTGCAGGTCTGTGATTTTGGGAGATGAGCCTTTTTTTTTTTTTTTTTTTTTTTTTAGACTATTAAACTAGATTTTTCTTTTCATTTAGAACCTGAACAGGGTGAATCCCAGATGCTATGGGCAGTGTAAATTAGAGGGAGTTACTGCCAGGAGCAGAACAGTTTGGAGGCAGCTTGAGTTAGCAGTGCTGGTAATGGGCTTCATTGGATATCACAGCGGTTCAGTGGTTGGCACTTCTGCCTTGCAGTTCTGAGGTTTTTGGTTCAATCCTGACCAGAACAATGTCTGTATGGAGTTTGCGTGTTTTTGTGTTGGCTTCCTCTGGGTACTCTGCTTTCCCCTCACACTCCAAAGACATGCGGGTAGGTTGATTGGTCCTTTGTGTATGCTTGGTAGAATGGGACCTTAGATTGTAAGGCGCTTGAGAGCAGGGATTGATGTGAATGTAGAGTATCTGAAGATCTACGTAGATTGTTGGTAATATATAAAAGTCTGTAATAAAAACCTGCGAGAAAGCTACCTCTTTAGATATACCTGCCTTTTACCTGCGTCTTTGTTTCTTTGTATTTGTATGTTTGTGTTGCTAAGCTTGTCGATAGATCTAAGGTGCAGTTGAATTATCCTGCAAGTATCCAATTACCTCATTTTGTAAATAAAGTGTTATAAAATGCAAGTCACTTGAAAGGTATTTGTTCATTTACCATGAAAGGAAAATCTGTCTCATCTTAGTTATGTTATGGATGGGTGTAGTTGGAGTACTACAAGAGTAATAATTTAGAATTCTACATTCCAGTTCCGGGGGTATACTTTATCACAAGCTAATGTATTAGAGCAGTAACCATGGCAGAAGCATTCTATAATATCACATTACCCTTTTGTTTTCCAGCATGCAGGTGTTGCCTTCCTCTACCATCCTTGTTTGGACCCTCGGCTGAAGGAAGACTTATCCTTTGTGGCAAGAAGCTGTGTTACCAGTTATATAATCACACCCCTTCCGGGTCTGTCCAGGGAAAGGGTAAGGGTTCTCCTTCACAATATGTTTCGTGTCCTGTGCTATTGGATTGTTAAGTTCTGCTCTTACTGTGCTCAGCACTTGCATATTCTTTCACAATCTCTTGAAAACCAGATTGCACTTCTACATGTTTAAGTTTGGGCCTATTTCAACAGGTTTTGCAGGAAAGCGCTAAATCCTTTGGATCTCTGTGATTTCCAGGGAAGCGATAAATCCTTTGGATCTCTGTGATTTCCAGGGAAGCGATAAATCCTTTGGATCTCTGTGATTTCCAGGGAAGCGTTAAATCCTTTGGATCTCTTTGTGATTTCCAGGGAAGCGTTAAATCCTTTTGGATCTCTTTGTGATTTCCAGGGAAGCGATTAAATCCTTTGGATCTCTTTTGTTTTCCGGGGAAACTATAAATCCTTTGGATCTCTGTGATTTTCAGGGAAGCTGTAAATTGTATGGATCTTTGTATTATCCAGGGAATTTATAAATCCTTTGGATTACTTTTGTGTTTTCAACAGGTCTTCCAGGGAAGTTCTAAATCCTTCTGGATCTCTTTTAGTGCTTTTACTTTGGTTTTTTTCTAGGGAATCTTTAAATCCTTTTCGGATTACTTTGTATTTTCCAGGGAAGCTGTAAATCATTTGGTTCCCTTTTCTGTAGTATAATGGAGGGTTCTCCTGCCATAACTCCTCCTACTAGTGAAATCTAATGAAATGATCAATTACAGTGGTTTGCAAAGGTCAGAGTAGACAGCACACCTAATATTCAAAAGCTAGTTAACTTGAAAAGCTGGTTGTAGTCTCAAAAGGAGGTTTATAATTACCAAATATAACCAGTGAGTTCAAACAGCAGAAGGGGAGATTTCAGACAATGCCGCCTGGAAAATGTATGACGATAAGCTCACTTATTGTGAACATGTTTTAAATATTCTTGCCGGGTACTTGCATGGAGACATATAATGCCACAAGCAGTGCATTGCTGGAGGTAAACTACATATGTGCTGTTCTGTTTGTATTCAGCCCCATTCACTGGACTGGTGAACAGGGCTTTTAAAACACTGACCCCATGGAAGATATGTCAGCAGTGCAGCTGTTCAGTTATGTCTTAAAATCAAATCCTAATGTAAATGTATCAATTTTATTTGCATTGATAACAGTGGTTGTGATGGTTTCCCATATATAAAGCACTTGGTAACACCGTATTATCTCTCTTTAGCCCATGGCCCTGGTCACTTGGTGCTCAACTCTGGAGATGTCTCGCATAAATGTGACTGAGATAAAGTATTGGCTGAAAGAAAACATTCGCCATGAACATCCGAATGAGACCGTACAAGACGGAGCCTACCAACATTTACTGATCAGGCCGTCCTTAATATCATCAAACACTGCAGAGCTCTGTCACGGAAGGGTTCTTCAGGTAAACGACATCACTCGTGGCTGCTCTGTGTAGTATTCTTGGTCTCAAACATTTGCCTGCTTTCTACTGCATCATTTTTGGAGTGGGCTTTCTCATTGCCTGGATGCTGGGCAACTTTATTCATGGTAGGATATCTTTGATGAAACTATTTCCTGTTGTCAGAATCGAGGCAAACTTGTCCGAATTTTTGATGCTAATATAAATTGTATCTGTAATCTTTCAGATGCTGAATCATTTTCTGAACTATGGAGGAAGGTCAAGTGGCCGTCTGTTGAGGAAAAGGAGAAGAGCTGTTTTGTTACCCACCCCTGTGGTCCAGGATATGGTATCTTCACATGCATCTGGCAGCATTTCCTCCAGTGCGCTGGCTGGGCAACACAAAGACAAAACCACAAAAAAGCACAGTACAGTTACTCTGCCTACAGGAATCGGTAGTTTGTCTTCTCCCACAGAGTCCTTCTCTTCTACCTCCCCTGTCCGCTTAACGCAGGAATCGCACACTCAAGGTATGAAAGCTGAGACAGAGGAGAATGACAAGGGCAACACCAGAGCTGCCACAGAGCTACCAGTACAGAAGATCATGCCCACACTAAGAAACCAGTCTCTTGTCTTACCAGAAGGTAATGACACGCAACCCATGGCAATGACACACAATGTATCTCAGGAGGCCAGGGAGGAACAGCCCTCACAGGCTTGGGTCACACAACAAAACCACCTTGCTGATACCCCACTGAAAGAAACATCTGTGAATGCTGCACCAAGACCTGACACCACTCTGCAGTCACAGCATCATCTTCCTGACCCAATGCTTTCACCCACTGCTACTGAGAAGAAACAGTCAGGTGAACAGAAGCAGGAATGCAACTGTCGGCATGATACGGCACCAGAGACGTTGTCCAAGGCTCAGAGAAGGTTGGGTGGCAGCCAGAAGAAGTCCAGTGAAGGGTTTGTGTCTACCCCTCGGACGGAGGAGGCCACCTGGGCAGCGGCATCTCTTATATTTCTCTTTTCTCTACTCACATTTTCTGTCTTGTACACGCAAATATATAAGAGGGTCCGCAAGAGCCAGAGCCTGTACTGGTCATCAGAAAACCACTCTGAAGAGAAAGAAACTGTTGCATGTAAGTTTTATTTGTTGTGATATGTGAGTGTATGTTTAAAATGTATACATGTACGGTAGTCTACACTGGAATAAGCAGTATGCGCCTGGTACACGGGAAGCCACCACAAAGCTTGGGCTTACCCATGCTACAGGCCACCTTGGGGGAGTTGTCACCAGCAGCTGAGAGGAGCAGAGTGATGGGTAATGGAGCTTGGAAATGTGTGATGGTGGAATACAAAGCTTTTTTAACTGTTGCATGGTCTCTTCCAAGCTTAGCCATCATCAGTATTATGAAGTACTTCTGCAGACACTGGAAACCTACTAGTCTATGAGGAAACATTTGTAAAACCTGAACATGGTATATATTTGTATATTTATATGTCATGTAAACAACCTATAGGCAACAAAACAGATTGGTAATAGCTATCCTTCAGTGATTGACTACATTGCTCAGTTATCTCTTACTCTATAAATGTAAACCTGCTCTAAGAGTAATGGGAAGTGTATATAAAATGATTGCTGACTGACTTCTGAAACTGCAAGTCACCTGGCTCTCATCATGATCCAGTGATTTGTATACTTCATAAGCTACAGACCTGAAAGAGGTATTTGGGTCAGGAGTTCTGAGTTACTGCGTGCGTGTTCTAGTTCAAGGTTTGAAAGTATTGAAGGAGGAGGCATTTTGCAGCATGGGCTTTGTGGTGGCATGCCTGGCTGTTTCTCATTTGTTACTTGGAGTCAGTGACCTAGAATAAGCATGCAAAAAATGAAAGCAGTACTTCTGATCTTCATACTTGTTCTGGGCCAGTGACTCAAAGTATTGAAACATTTTGGATGAGCAAGGGTTTCCTTTTGAAAGCCCTATAAGAGTGGAGTTTGTGCTCCCTAATGGCCTTTTGGATGAGAGTTTTTGTTCTAGACTTTCATTCTGACAGGCACACTTGAATACAAAGAGATGACTGAAATGTCACCATACGTGTTTCCCCAAAGTGTCACAGCAGGTGCAGCAAGTTTTTCCTCTCCTACATACTTGCAGGACTATTGGCTATTCGCAGCGTCCTGCACAAGCCTGCAAAGCCTGTCCAGCTGTACCTGAATGTGTCCACTAGATGTCACTGTTCTATTGAGCACAATGCACGGTTACTCTTTACACGTTAATCACAGTTGTTCATATCAAAGGTTATTGTGTGGATTGACACTTTTATTGGGACTTGGTACCGTGTCTTTTGAAGGACTGCTGCAGGCTGTTTTATTTTGTATACTGGATAATTTGATAACCAGATATTGTGTTTCTTCTACACAGCTATTATCAAGAGGAGACTTGTTCAGGGTCACACGAGGCGCAAGCAATGGTTTGGAAAGAAGAAGAGCCCCACAGTGCTGTATGAAAGTCTGAGTGAGAGTTCTGAATAGAACGTGATCTAGATTAGAAATACATTATGAACAGTCATGTCACCCCAAACCTCACATGGGCCAAACACTGACCCTTGGGGGGCCCATTCATAGTGAAGAGTGAATCACTCTCTGCTGCATGCTGCAATGTTTACTGCACATTTCATTTTATAGATCGTTTATAAAATGAGGACGTGGTGTGATGCCTGTGGTGTCCGGAGTTTTCTCTGCTAAACACTGCTTACAGGGATGTACTTTAACAAAACAAAAAGCACCAGCACATTTGTAAAGCGGTGCTATATAAATGGGCCATAAGTGGAGGCAGGAACATTTCAGCATCTTTTACCTTTGCTGTACTGTGAAGAATCGGTGCACCTTCATCATTTTAAGGAAGCCAAGTAGCTTCGGTAAGTTATTGGGCTTTACTGTTTAATCAAAGCTGTGTTTTTTTGTTTTCAATCTTGGGTCCATGTTACTGCTGTTTTAATCACTGTCACCCTGCTGTTCTCCCTTGAAATGTTTTGTGCAGTCGTTAATAGATAACTTGTTATACATTGGGAGCATTACCATGGTTAGGATGTTTCCATAATTCCATATCACATGACTATTCCCGGAATTTTGAGTGGATCTCTAGACTTTTGGGATGATCCAGAGTGTTTTTCATAGCCATGTCCATTATTTTTAGCATGTATTAGACTTTAAGTGGAAGTCCAAATAAAAATTGCTGGGAGGTTGGGATTTTTGGCGGAGTAGACATTCAAAGTCTATTGTGCCAAAAGAATTCTTCATCTCTTCCCCCAGCAAATGTATTTTGTATTTTCTGTGTACATTGTACAGCACATGCACTGGGCAGTGACACACTCAGCTCTAAGATGCTGTGAATGTGACGAGCGAAGGGGAGGATGTAATTCTGTGCACAAGTACAGGAGATACATCATCAGTGATGGCGGAAGTTTCATCTGACAATACTGGAGAAGGCATACTTGTAATGTAAGTATGACTATTTGCCGGTTTTTGGGGAAGCCTTCCACAATTCGCACAGGGTGGTTGCCGTTGTCGGCAGCCTTTTGGCCGGTATTCCTCAATCAGCCGGTTCTGATCCGGTATCCTGGCAGCGGGCACTCTCCGAGTACAGAAGAAACGGCAGAGATTCCTCGATCAACGTGCTCATAGTATTGATAGAGGAATCTGCTCTATCAGTCCGCGGGTTGAGCGAAAAAAAAAATTGAGTAATGTATGGCCAGCTTTATTGGTGTGACGGCAACTTCATGTTCAGATTTGCCACATTTGAAGCTCCTTTGAAGTTGACGGGAGAGAGTAGAGTTAATGTAGCTCATTATTGTAAAGAATTGTTTGGCTTTTATTGTATCGATTTCAGTGTTGATGTGAGAGGGTCAGTGTGGCAGTCAGACCATTCTCATTAGCAGCCTTCATGTATCTCTCAGGAAATGCTCCTTTTTAAAGGGGTAGTTTGCCTAAAACTGGTATTTTAGTTATCAGTGTCTCCTGGTGGGAGCCTCGGACTTGTTGTATGTCTTGGATACTGTGCCTCTGAGATTCTTTGTGCCTCTGAGATTCTTTGTGCCTCTGAGATTCTTTGTGCCTCTGAGATTCTTTGTGCCTCTGAGATTCTTTGTGCCTCTGAGATTCTTTGTATGTGTCTACTCTCCAGTCCCTTGTCCAGTTACAATGTCTAATTGGACAAGAAGAACTACTCATTCACCAGGCTCTTGTGCAATGAGAGGTTGTCTTATTGGCCAACAAGACCTGCCCTCTCACCAGCCCCTTCTCTAGTAGTATACTAGACAGCTTTGGTTCATTGCTATTAGTGGTCAGAGCTTACGCTTTAATTTGAGAGAAAGAATCACTTTTGCTATGGCCGAGGGTGAAGGGTTACTCTTTGTGCTGTAACTACACTACCGCGATCTCTGAGGGCTGAAAACAACAATACTAATTGGGGTTTCTGCCTTCCAATAACGGCACAGAGCGTAAACCTCATCCTACCTGATATTGGGGGGCCTATAGTATGACCCCTTCAGCATCTTAACATTTCCAGATATTTTCAGTTCCAATAAGCTTCTTCAATGTTTTCTCACACACACTCTGTCAGCGTTCTTTGTGGCTTTTCTATCTATGGTCTACCGTAGTGATACTTTCCAATACAGCACTCTCTCTGTACCAGAGAATTCTATGTTGCAGCCACTAGAGGCTTCCTTTAAGACGTGTTAGTGTTGCATTTGGCAACGTTTTATAGATGACAGTATATTTATTTTTATACTGATGTAATTAAAGTCCGTCCTTTGTTGTACATATTTTTATATCTACATTGTCTGTACTTTGCAGTTTTAAATCATTAAAAGTATTTTTAAAATGTTCTCAGTTTTATTCATTTGTACAGCACAACTTAGTCCCTGGAGTAAAGGGTGCAGTGGGGGAGGAAAACCTACAGTATATACCCTCCATGCAGAATGGTGTACCTCCGTGAAAACTGAACTCGGGATTTATCATTTAAACTTTCATACGTTATTAAACTAGTTTTATGTAGCAGGCTCCTAAGCCTTGCCATCTTGGCTGAGTGCTGTGTTGTTGTCATCCAATACTTTCCTGCCCCTTCTAACTCATTCACATTCCTATTGGTCAGTGATGCTACTTACCATAGTAAGGGGGCTGGGCTTTAAAGCAAGTTTCCCCATAACCCAACGTGTGGGAGATTATTTTCCGAGCTGGCCATGGCGGGAGGTTTAGGTGGGACTTCTTTCTTGATCCTACATCAAAGAACATGGGGAGTTATTTCTTCAATGAATGGGGATATGCAGCTACCATCAGGTGATGGACACAATGGCAAAGCTGTAAGACAGCCCTTAAATAACACCTCCCACTCCTAGTCTGTCTCAGCTCTTTGCTATTGTCCTTAGGTGACCTATGCTTTCTCTCTGCTCTGCGTGAAAGTAAAAAACATTTTCTTCTGCTATTTCTACTGAAGATTTCTTCTAGCAAGTTTCCCTAATTGTTTCTCTCAACCACTGTGACACCTAACTGCAGTAGTCTGGACTGGGTTTCTCCATGGCAGAGCCTTGTTGGACTATACCTGGACCCTGCCTTTTAATGTGCTTAGGGGCACTTGGCAGTTTTGTGTATCATGTCTAGTTGCCACAAGGTGCTTTACAAGTTCCAGGGCCATGGTCCATTGTGTTGAAGCCCTATTCCTGAAGACCCCCTTTGGGATGGTGGTGTGGAGTATGCTCACTGGGAGGGACACGACTGAATATGAGGGGGGGGGCTTTAAGTGACCACTCTGCCAGTTCAGCCAACGCTCTGAGGGTGCTGAGTTAGGGCTTGCCCCTATTCAGCTACCCAGGGTGCATGTTGCCTGCATAGCCTCCCTCAGGGGATTACTACAATGAATGCATGCATCTACCATTTTCCTTTTATGGCACATGCTGAGCTGGATACATAGGCTATTCTTGCTTTTATTACTCGGCATGCTAAGGGAGTCCAGATTTCTACTGCTGCTGCCTTACTATGCCTTATTTATGGGAAATCCATTTCTCGGAGCACATCAACAGGGCACAGCACCCTCCCCTCTAGTTCCATGATCCACAATATAAAATTGTAGCAGGCTGGGAGTGGAAGGGGTTATACAAGGCTGTCACACAGCTTTGATTAAGCTGAAGAAGAAGGTAGCTGCATAAACCATCAGTTGAAGAATTATTACCTCCCTGGGACACAGACAAGAATACAAAAATCATGTTTTTATGCTCTCAAAGTTTCTAATCAGCCGTACCTTTGCCTCCTGCAGGCCAGTATGCTGGAGACCTGCAACATATATTCTAATAATGCATAACATGCCAGATATTTGTTTTTTTTTTGTGCCTAGGTGGAAATATGTACAGGTGAAACTCGAATAACTAGAATATCGTGCAAAGTTCATTTATTTCACTAATGCAACTTAAAAGGTGAAACTAATATATGAGATAGACTCATTACATGCAAAGCAAGATAATTCAAGCCGTGATTTGTCATAATTGTGATGATTATGGCTTACAGCTCATGAAAACCCCAAATCCACAATCTCAGAAAAGTAGATTATTACATGCAATCAATAAAACAAGGATTGTACATAGAACAATATCGGACCTCTGAAAAGTACAAGCATGCATATGTACTCAGTACTTGGTTTGGGCCCCTTTTGCAGAACTTACTGCAATTACTTTTGCACGATATTCTAATTATTCGAGTTTCACCTGTAAGTGTATGGTTTATACCTCAAAGTGGGTCTAGCTTTAAAATTCTGATTATCAAACAGCATTATATTTTTAAGAAAATGTGTTCCTTTGTCTAGATATCAGAAAAGTGAATGCGATTGTCACCTAAAGACTAGGCGAAGACTGAACGGCCTCTGGCTGCCAGCTTACTGTGGATGCCTCCACTTGTAGAATTTAAAAAAATGCATGAAAGTGGCAGTCTTCTGAAATACTTTTTGATCTTTATTATGAACAGGTTACCAGTAAAGCCTGACAGAAAAGGTCAGCCAACAGCTGTTTCCTTGTACAACATGCTTTCTCATCCAATACAGGGCTGATTATTTCCCCATGTGTGTGTATACCAACATTAAGAACCACCAATCCTAGAAATAGGTCCTAGGAATTGTGTAAGGCTGCAGTTCCTCAGCCATACTGGTTTCTTCTTCTACTTACACTTGCCAGCTCTCTCTTCCTAACCTTTTCAACCTGAACGCCCAGCCAATCCTTGTGCCTTTGTTGTGGATGCTTTGGGGACTCCATAGGATTGGTTTTAATCTGATCAAAACCTCCCTCCCAGCTCTGCAGGCTCAAGATTGAGGGTATTGAGATTACTCTATAATATATTTTTCTCACTGCACTGTCCCAGGAAAACATGGTACTCAAACATACTCGGGCTTGTGGCAAACTCTCTATGCACCTCTGGACTAGATCTTTTTCCCCAGGAACTGGTTCACCATCCTGCGTTTCAGTCACTGGCTTTATCTGCTTGGCTGTTGAAGCCCAGCAACTAAGGAAGAGGGGCTTAGTGGATATGGTCATCACTATGCTCTTGAAAGCTAGAAAGTCAACTTTCTGCAATGTCTAACATTGCGCTTAGAAGTCCAACTTGTGTGGTGGGAGGCAATGAATTTGCATTCCATTGATCCGGTCAGGATCAGCATTTGATTTGGTTCTCAAGTTGGTTCT